TCAGCCCCTGTTTATCCCTTCCCATGACAATCCAAAACGTAACTTGCTGAATGCCCTATCTCATGACTTTGAACTTTTAATATATATTATAAAAGATTTTAAACGAATATTTATAGTTGTTTAGAACATGTCACGGTGGGCAAATCAGTTAACAGGTGTGCAGATGTAGCTTGTGAGCGCGAGAGAAATAAAGCCTGTGTATAAAACTACTGTTATTGCGCTGGGCATTTGTGGAGGAAGTTTTGGATTTGGCTCGGTGAGCTCCTGGCCAAGCTACGATAGCGTGGTCACCTCATTTAAGATTCTATTTTAAAGCCTCACAGCAACTGGATGGAAAATACACACTATCTTCCACCATTGAGGAAAACAAACATTCATGAACTTCAAAGTGTCAGATCACTAATGTTCCGTCGTCATGATCAGCGATGATTAGTCCACTAGTGCTCTCTTTTAGCCCCCCCCCCCCTCCCGATACGTTCCATTCATTGGCTACCACATTCTGATAAGCTCCCCCCTCTCCTCCCCCTTAACTTGTATTTAAGAACTTGCATCTTGGAATCCCTGCCTCACTTGATACAGCAAATCTGGCTGTGATGGTCCCACCTGATGACGGAGACTTTTGTTGCCTCCGAAACGTCGTGATTTATTATTATTTTATTTTTATTAATTTCAATTTCATTTTTTACCTACGTGACTTTACCGAAAAAACTAAGAGTATGAAACCTTGCAGTCACGAAAGCTTCAAATCTAGGATTAGTCCACTGCTGGATAAAGGCCTTCCCAAGCCGTTCCAATCTCTCATGGTCTCACGATGCAACATTCCACATAGCACCTGCGCACGAGCTGGCCTCATCGCTCCATCGACGCAGTGGGCGCCCCTCTCTGGAGTTTTTCCCTCCTTTTCCTGCCACTCCAACATCGGTCTCCACCACCGTCCGTCATCCCTGCTAAGGGGCGCATCCTGCCCAAGCCCAACGTCCTTTTCTTAACAGACTAGGTGTGGTGTTTCGAAATTGCTGATGTTCTCAAACTGATACGTTGCCTATCTTATCCCTTTCTCAATCCGAGATGTCTGCAAGTTGCAGGGTGGGGGTCCCATTCACCGCCAAATCTAGGAACGTGCAAGCGGTTAGTGTTAATTATATTTAGAGAGGCATAGCGCCGCTGTTTTTTAAAGACACTACACTCACCGCAGAGAACCGTAGCGACACAACCGCACTCGACGATAGCTGGCGCCAAGCTGAGCCGCATGCCCTCCCTGATGGCCTTTTACTTCCGATTCCGTTCTGATGGCGTATACATCAGACACGTGTACGATGACGTACGTCATTAGAATGGGAAAGGGTTAAGTAGTTACGCACCATTCAATTGGACTCAATTACGACATAGCTTAAAACCACCGCCGTTTGAGTTGAATCGATCTCACAGAGCACTCACTGGGTGCCGTGTGGGATGCATTGCCTTGCTACCGTGAGTGTTCCTCCATTGCCTGGCCCCTTGGCTGCACGGTTCAAAGTTTCTACTGGTGCTGCTGTGGAGAGAGGGCAGTTGTTTCAAGTTTCCCAGCATATGCATTGCACTCAGCAACAGATAATGATCAACCTCTTTCTTCCGTTGGATGCTCTACAGCCAACTGTTGTTATTCCACTGCTGGATGAGGGGCCTAACCACACCGCGCGAGTCGTGGGGAGCGTTTTGACCGTACTTCGCCACGCCGGGTTGAAGGTGCGAAACATGTAGTTGTGAGGGAGAGGAGAGTAACCCCTATGCTGTACTATCCATTGCATCAGACATGTATGTAGGTGCTCTTAATTTTATATGTTGCACTATCACAGAAGGTGAAGTTCGCATTCCTCGTAGCGTCTTCCCAGCCCCTCCCCTCTTGTTGAAGGCTGAGACCCCACCACCCCCGTCTGAATTCTCATTCAATTCAGATAATGTTAGTACGATGTTTAGTATTCGTCTTGACCTTTCCTCATTTACACATGGGGGTGAGAGCGAGAGCAGAATGCATATGGCAGACAAGAGCACATCGCATCATTAGTCATTCTGTTTAGTGCTTAACATTTGCTTAACGTTTGCTCAACATCGACTGTGCTGTGGCCCCTCGTAGTTTTTTGTACAAACAAGGTCAAGCTCTACAGAGCCGGGAAGGTTGTGAATTCAGATTTTTGCTCCTGGGGTCGTCTTGACTCTTTGAACAACAACAACAACAACTTTGTAGAACCTCAACAGCGGTCGACTCTTCGCGCATGTGACTTGGTTCTGCCTCAGAAATGTGGAATTTCAATTCTGTCCCGGCACCTTAAACGGCGATAGGCACATCCTCCTTTCTTGTGTGGACCAGAAGAAACTCTCTTGTTTGACTGCGTGTGTGTGCACGACGTAACCGTGTGCGGCTTTAAAATTCCGCGTAGAGCGCCGCTGTTGAATTGCGTTTTTGTTTTAAGGGCTCGCCGTAAGTTCAGAGCAAATAGGAGCGCGTGACGGGTGTTGCATTTCTGACAAATTTCCAGAGATCAGAAAACCCAAGATGAATATAAATTCTCAAATTCCACTGGCTCGATGTGAGGCCAACTCCCGAAGCAGTTTATGTAGTTGTAGTTTTATTTATTTATGCACCTGAAAACTTCGTAATTTCTTTATATAGATGAGCGATTTCAACAGTCCATTTTTTTTTAAGGGGATGAGGAAAAAGGTTCATCACAAACGGCTGGGTGACGACATGCGTTGCGCGTTGAACTGTGGCAGTAAATGTGCTCAATTCTCGCCGAGTCTGGTGGCTTCTCCATTCAATTCAGCCCATGGAGGATTGATTTGGACTCTCTCTCTCCGCACTTCACTCACTGACTGAAGAACCACACGTCGGAAGAAAATTCCGCCAGGCCATTTGCCCGTGGCCTAACTGGTGAATTCGCGCTGCTTGTCGTCAACCCCAACATTTGCCCGGTGAAAAGTCTGAAGGAAGCCACAGACTCTACGGACACGCGAGTCGGCACCCTTGCCGAAGAGGCGTTCTGTGAGTGGTAGAGTCCTAGAGACAAGGGTAAAGGACATTGGACGCGTGTGGGTGACAGTGACATTACTTGCAACCTGTGCTTTGGGAGTTGTACATCGGATTTAGCTTGGCATCTCTGGAAGCTGTCCCGAAGATCTACAAGCTGTTATATTCTGAGAAAACACCACTGGTTCGATGGGAAAGGTGCCCTCCCAACAGAGCAGTACCTCTTGCTTCAGCTCCATGATATGCTTCCTCCCATCGCCCTCCATCCATGCGACCCTCTCTCTCTCTCTCTGCCATCCAGGCTCTGATGGGTGCAGTTATTTTGTTTTAAAGCCACTACGGTTTGATGACAGCCGTGTACAGAATGAACACGCCAATTTGGAAAAAGTCACGGAACATTCGTATCATCATCATCATCAGCCGTGATCTATCCACTGCTGTAGAAAAGCTTCTCCAAGCCACCGCCACCTATCACGATTTTCCTACGCAATGATCCACCGAAGCACCTGCATATGAATTGTGAAATCGTCGCTCCGTTTCCATCAGTAAATATTTATATGGCAATCAGTTTATGTACATGATGCAATGTATTATTTATGTACACAGGTAAGGCTGTGGGATATCGAATACGTGATGTGAAGGCGATTGTTATTCGTAATGTTGCTGAGGCATTGCTTATTTGTTTTAATAATTTTACCACATTTTGCAACCCGAGTGTTGGGCCCCCCAACTTGTTCGTGAATGGACTTTTGGCCCTAAACAGCAGGCTACCCAGCGGCATTGCTTTAACGGACCACATTCTGCTCATCAGACTTGGTTAAGCCAATGTTTCCCTAGTTATAACAGAATTTTCGCCAAACGTTATCAGGTTTAAATATGGAATCTTGTTATACTAAACAATATGTGTGTGATATTTTTTCCCCGGTGTGTTTGTGCTTCTTACTCGCAAAATCTCAGGGGGGATGCCACCCCCGTTAAAATTAATAACATTCTGGAGTTTTTTTTTTATGACCTAACAGAAACTATTTTACCTCGTCTCAGAAGCTATCTAATTCTCCCTTTTTTGAACATCAGTTTCAAAGACATTGTGGCCTTTACGGACAGCATCAACAACTTCATGTAGCTAGCTTAGCGAGCTGTATTCAGGTGGGTTAGCTGTGTGGACACGGAGTCCCATGCCATCATTGTAACATTGGAAAATTAAAATCTGAGGCCGGAAAAGGCGTTACACTTTCTCTATGAAAAAAGTAGTCTGGGAATTGTCAACAAAATCATAATCTCTTGAGAGAAGGTCATCCAAATGCCGTACACCCTCGTACACTGAACATAGATGTTGTCATGTGGAGATAACTGGCCCTAAACCATAGTAGTTTGGAATTTCTAATAATGTTTCAGCAATGAAAATAGTAAGGGTACTGGTAATTTGAACCTTATCTTGTTTGCCTTTGTCCACGTGCAATCACTAAATATATATAAATTGAAGATGGGGGCGGTGGACTCATTTGCGTATTTGAACACGGAGGCATTGGTTTGAGTTGGATTTAAATGAGTGAAATCTGTGAAATCTGTTTGAGCCAAACCGCACGGCGTATATTGCCGTGTAACTCGGCGGGTTGTAGAAACTGTTGCAAATTGCAAAGAGCGTAAATTGCGTTTGTATTCTGTTGTTATTGTTGTCGAAACTGATCTGAAGCGTAGATCATATATTTATGAAGCACGACTTGTGGTGGCAATTTGTCAACATTCCCACCAGCGGTGCAGATGAATTATTTTTTACGACAACAAAAAAAAGTGCTTTGCATAGCTTTCATTGAAGGGGCTTTGTCGACTGAATAATGAAACTCGCTTTTTGTTCCGCTTGCACGCCGCCCATTTTATGGAAAAGAAAATTTAACGAATGAAAATGCGAGTGGATGTTTTAAAATATTCACGTTGGTTTCGTTTTCTCCCTCTCCCCCTTTCCTTGTCTCCGTTTTGTTCTTCTTCTTTCTGCTAGGCCCCAAAATGGCTCCATGCTTTTGTACAACAGAAAGAAGGTGAAGTATCGGAAAGACGGCTACTGCTGGAAAAAACGGAAAGACGGCAAGACGACGCGGGAAGACCACATGAAGCTCAAGGTGCAGGGCATCGAGGTATGAGCCCTTCGGTTACCGATAGCGACTCCGTGGCAGCCAGCCAGCCGGTGGCGGCACGTTGGCAGATCGGCAATGACGCTGCACGTTCGTTGCGTGTTAAATAACGTTTGTGTGTGCTGTGTACTATGTGATAGTACATCACAAAGGTTGTCTGCCGGTCGTCTCAAACGTTTGACACGGCACATGCGGGCTATGTCGTGGCCTCCTGCCAGCGAGCCTTCGACACTGATTTTAATTTTTCTTACTGTACTTTGTTTTTATTAATTTTTGTCATTATGGTGACCCAGGCCACTCTTAAAAATGAGACAATCTTTTTCTCTTAAGTTCTCACCTGGTTGAACAAAATTAACGAAGCTAAGCTTCACGTGACCTCACAGTTGTTCTAAGCCAAGCACTGTTAACGGTGGTGTAACAGGCTTGTGAATCATTATTATTAAATATAGAGTTAATAGCGTTAAAGAGTCAAGTTATGATGTAAATATGTCTGACCAGTGTAGAAGAAGAAAAGACCCTCAGCCTTGCAGTTGTATGGCTCCTGCATGTTTTACTCATCGTTTTTTTTAATGCACAAATGAAATTAGAGCAAGTCCCTTTGTGCACGCAGTGTTATTGCACGCGTACGGGAATGCACGCTTGTAGAATTGCGAGCACATTTAAACAGCAAAAAGGAACAGTGTACACATTGCCCAGAGAAAATATATATATTTGAGACAATGCATTTTTGAAACATCCACGTAACTATTTATGGTCAAAGGCATATTGCTGGCCCTCCAAACTTTCTGATGACTTTTTTTGGGTTATTCCTTTCATCTTTCCAGATCAGTCTTCTGCACACTACTGACAAAACTATTGAACTGTTTTGTCATGCGGCAGAGAACATTGACATTCCCCCCCCCCTCCCTGATCTTGCTCTTATATCCCGTACGATAATTTTCCATCGTAGGCAGGCGAGGGGGTGGGGGGTAGAAAAACATAACTTTTATTTTTAAGAGCAAATCGAATACGATTGCACTCGCTGGCTTCTTGGAATAAACATTCAGACGAAATCGTCTGTATAATGATGACTGCTGTTAAGGGCTAGAGTGGGCTTAGGGATATAATTTTTTGGGGTATCTACAAAAGACAAAAATGGGGGGGGGGGGGGGGGGATCCCCTGCCATTCCGTGTTAACGTACGGAAAGAGATATGAAGGCATCACACATTCCGTTTCATGTCGGCAGTGCGCACAGCAGCCCGTCTGCGGGGGAGGACATTGAAGCTCTGCTTTGCGCTTCTGCAATTGTGCTCGGCGCCTCCCACAGGCATCGGTGTCCTTCTCTCGCCACGATCCCTTCAGGCCTCATCGTGCGAACAATTTCCCAGGCCCCCCTCGTTTCCACGTGTGGACTTTTTGACTGCAACGCAATGCAATTGGGGATCGTAGGGGCCCCTCTGTCTGGGCCCGGAGTTTACGCGGCGGCGGCGGTGGTGGTGGCGGCGGTTCGAGTTTGCAAGTGAGTCGCGGAGAGAGCAACAGCTCTTCCACGCAAACCAATTATCTGGAGCTGCAAACTTGGGACCGCTGGAAAAAAAGTTGTCTTTTTGTCGTTAATTACAGCAAGTCGTGTTTCGTTAGTTAGTTCGTTAATCCTCCTCATCCCCTTTGAGACACGAGGCCGAAATGAGTCCCCTCCGCTTCTTCCCGTCCTTGGCAAACATGTTGAGCCCCGCCCTGAGAGATGTTGATCGTTGCTGCCAGCTCATCCTTCACGGTCTTGCGCCAGGTGGTCTCAAGTCTCCCAGGGTTCCTTTTGCCCGTTGGTGTCCATTTTAGAGCAATTTTTGGATATACGGTCCTGGTCCATTCTGAGTACATGTCCAAGCCATCCGAGCCGCCGCGTCTCGATGCCTTGCGTGTGATATTAGGACAACCGGTCTTCTTGAACGGTTTGGTGGTGTGGATTTTGTTTGGCCAGTAGATGCAGCAAAATCATGTTTTGTAATTGTTTATAATTGTTTTCATGTGTTTATCATCAGGGTGCGCGTGACCATTAATTGAACCCAGGTTTCAAGGATTGTAGTATAGTGTGCCAACCATTCCGCCATCCCCATTCATATACCCACACACAATTATGGCATTATTATCATCATAATCCCTTGAAACTTTATCGTGCTAATTGAAGGTATGGAGGAAAGACCACAAAAGAAACTGCTTTTTGTATCAAATTTGTTGACCTTCCCCCGCACCTCCGATTAGCATGGTTGGCTACGTACGGTGCAAAAGAAATTCAACATACATAGATATATCATTAGCTGTTGTCAATCCACTGCTGGATAAAGGACTCTGCAATCGGCCATGACCTCCCATGATCCCGTAATGTAACAATCCATCTAGGGCCTCTATTCGAACTGATTTCATCCCTCCATATCATCGGTTTTAGTTAACGTCTATCTTTCTCCACCATTATCAGTTCCTGCACAACCATCCAACAATTGAAACAGATCTTCTCACTTGTAAGAAATTGGCATCACGTTTCGTGAAAACACAGACACTTCCTCGACAAACCCTTCCAAACCGTTAACATCTTGACAATGCGTCATCTTCGAGTAAAAATTGTTGCGCCGCTTTCAAGTTTCATTGACGTCGGCATTAATTTTCTATCAAGCCTGGTTGCCTTCGGTTCAGCGCAATGTTATTGACCACCTCTCCGGTAGAGGGTCCATGTCACGTTGCTAGATTCATATTGGGGCACCGCGGTGGCAAGATGTTATCTCACTCGCCTTGCAAAACAAAAAAGTCAGATGTTTGTTTTAACTATAGGTTGATGCTCTTGTTACCAAATTATCGTGCAATCTCGACAGATCTCTGAAGCCAAGCAGTGTTGAGCCTAGATAAGTGCTCGTGTGTGTGACAGTCGTGCATAGCAGACAGGCGAAGTAGGCACTGTGGGCAGTAGAGGGCGATGCAGCAAAATCCACTGCTGTTCTGAGCACACCGCTCCAACTTCGCCAGCGTGCATTGACCACCCTGGTGAAATGTGGTCAAATATTCCCTGTGAGCCACACACGGCCTGTGGAACGGCTCCTAATCCAGCAGTAGATTGAGGTCGAAAAACAGACTGCACAAGTAAAGGTTAATGCTCCAATAACTGGGTTAGCAAAGTATTCTCGACACATAATCTTCATGTGTTTTGTTTTGGAAAAAAAACAAATCAAAGTACCTTGGATGTTAAGGGTGTGGTGTGAGGTTGTCTTATGTCCACGAGAAATAATATAGTAATTTGGCCAAAATTTGGCGTCGAGTTCGCCAGATGCATGGTTCCCAATGCCTCTTTCATGCGCGCTGTAGGTGTGCTTACTGTATTCATAAAAAAAACAAAGTCATTCACTCGTAGTGTGTGTCTGCCCTTGAGTTTGCGATGTAAATTATGCAAGAAAACCATGAGAGAGAAAAGCAATCTACGTATTATCTTAAAGTTCCTTTCGCAATTCACGAACACGTCGGAAGTTGTCGCGATGCATTTTCATTGTTTCATACATTTTGGAATATTAATATTGGGAGGAAGTGAGAAATGTACGTGCTTTATCCAGATTGTATGCCAGATATGCAAAGTGAAGCTTGCCTCTAGATTAACTAACGGCGCACACGAATATGACCTTGAGTTATTTTTTTTTACTCGCAATTAAAATTAATTATATGCCAAAAATTGTCTTTGATTGACACGGGATCAATTTACGGAAAGGATATGCAGTTTTGTAAATGTCAGTGGTTTTTATGGTACATTATTAAGAAGAGGGGAAAAAAAGTACACTTTTGAGATATTGTGTTACTTTTGACAGTAATGCTCGCTCATCAGTTAACGTGAGGACACGCGTATATAGGCTGGCATTCAGTTGAGTGGCCGCTGAGGAAGAGAGCAGATGCCAGTGCGGAGAAATCCATTGTTGTCCTGCACTGCTATGCTGACACATCTGTGCTGCCCGCGTTCGTCAACTCGCGATGGCCAGCGTGGTGAAAGTGTTGCGGAGGTTACGATGCAGCAGTGGACAAACACAAATGTCCACTCTGCAGCTGGATAACTGCAGTTAAAGCGATTAACTCACAATCATCAGGCAGTGAATATAAATCCCAGATGGGGCATCGCCAGGCATCCCAAAGGGGTTATTAAATGATTGCCACTTTTGTGTGAAGTCACCATCATCATCATCGCCTCTGATTAGCACGGCTGGCTTCGTACGGTGCGAAAAAAGTATCAGTGTACATCTTGGCTTAATATTCACACTGTGTCTGCCATGTGGTACAACCTCCAGTTGCCCTCCAGCGGGGGGCCTCCGAGAGGCAGCTGTCTCTGTGAGGCACAGGTCAGCAAGCGGGCACGAGCCCACTTACTGTGTGGATCCCCAATTAAGTAATTTACAAATAATTTATCCGACTTAGCAAAAAATTTGACCATGACGGTGGCACGCATGGCCTACTCTTTTTTTTTTACACGTATAATATCACAGGATCTCTTAACGTCTACCGTGAAGAAGACGGCAGATATTTCTGCGGTTAAAACGCCCACAGTGTTCACCGGGGCGTCCGCCGGGTTTGAGCCCCCGCAGAATGTCACCACCCAATGGCAATGTTTGTCCATCATAAAGAATGTCACTTGTCGTAGAAACGTGCAATTTTCACCGCTGTCTCAGAGCCACTGGGGACGGGAAGAGGGGACAAGGAGGGGGGCAGATATGGTGTGGACGTGTCAGGAGAGGAGTGGGGGCCCCGTGTTAGGGGAGGGGGGACAACGCTATCTGTGGTGGGTTGTTACTATCCAGGCACCCACAGATGCCCCCTTTCAGAAGATTATGGACATGTGTGTCGTAGTTGAGCAGTGCTCGGCAGGTGTTTTTGATCTACTCGGCTAAAGAGATTTCGTTTCGTACTTTCTTGGCCCAGATAACTTATTGCTCGGGGCGACTTGCGGGGGATGAGCAGTTGTTTTTTATTTGTGCGTACCCCAAAAAAATGCCTTCAA